TCGGGGTTTGGCCTTTTTATTGTTAATGAACTAATAGCAAATGAATGTTCCGCAGAGTGGTACAGAACAAGCGCTCTTTCCCCCTCCCCCCAAACAAACAACACACTCTTTGTGCCTAACCTGCATCTGTGCCAAAGGCATGTTAGTGCAATTTTAATTTAGAGATTTCTTCATTAGCAAAATCACTGAAAACATCAGTAACTGCCATTATGAGGTTTTACTTTAATTCATATGTAAATTGGGAGGTAAGGGAATGTTGGTCCCAAAGTGGCAGTATGCAGGGAGTGCAGGAAGGAGAGGAGAAGACAGCAGAGGGGCAAGTAAGGGGCAAGACAAAAAGGAGGCTGACTCATGTTATGTTTGTGCTTCTGTGTATCTAAACACACTAGGTAAAGAGACAGTTTAATAACAGTGATTAGTACTGTATTAAAAGGAGCTCAAATGACTGTGAGTCAGGGATTATCCCATTCAACTGATGGGGAAACAAAGGCAAACAGGTTAACGTCAACATTTTTAAAAGGGTCCACTCTTTCTTTCTGAGTTCCCCCACTTTCTTTCTGCAGCTCCCATTGAATCCAATTAGAGATGTGGGAATCCAACAACTCTTCAGATCTGTCTGTGTGTGTTTCAAGGTCGGCATTTTTTTTAAGGACACGCCCACAATGAAAACACTTTAAAAAAAATGTTCAGTCTAAATGCCTTGCGAAATACCACTGAGGAAGATGACACTAGAGCTGAGAATATATTGACAAGAATTCCTTGTTCCTGGTACAGTCACTAGCCTGAAGCTAAAATCTTCAAGAGGTTCTTTTCCAAGGCAAGATTTATATTGGACAGGCCTGGTATTCAAAGGGATGTTCAGAATCCCACAATTCAGCATCCCACAAAAAGATCTTGAGGGACCTGAGATTGGGAGCATGTCACTGAGTTAGCACACAGCTTTGTCCTGGAGGTCAAATCTAGCCTTTCTGCACTCACTTGATTAGTTACTACTGCGGGGAGCTGTCTTCTGGATTGGTTTATTTCCTCAGAGCAGCACCTTTCTGTCTAGTATCTGAGTGCTAACTATCTGAGCTCTTGGCATTCTTTAGAAAAGACTGAAATATCTATACCGAGGGGAAAAAACAAACTAAGCAACTTAGGCCAAATGTTAGGTAGCTGGCTGTCCTTTAGTACTTGATGATACAATTAATTACATATTGATATCCTCACTGTAAATATAAATCAGAATCTAGAGTGACATTTTATGAACACATAACATTATGTTGACAAAAATCTCTCTTTTTTAAACCCATAGTAGGTGATTTAAAACTGGATTATAGTTTCGCTGATTAGACTCAAGGTCAAAACAAAGGGTACATCTAGACTACATGCCTCCGTCGCCAGAGGCATGTAGATTAGGCTACCAGACATAGGAAAATGAAGCAGCGATTTAAATAATTGCCGCTTCATTTAAATTTACATGGCTGCCGCGCTGAGCCGACAAACAGCTGATCAGCTGTTTGTCGGCTCAGCGCGGCAGCCATGTAAATTTAAATGAAGCGGCAATTATTTAAATCGCTGCTTCATTTTCCTATGTCTGGTAGCCTAATCTACATGCCTCTGGCGACGGAGGCATGTAGTCTAGATGTACCCTTTGTTTTGACCTTGAGTCTAATCAGCGAAACTATAATCCAGTTTTAAATCACCTACTATGGGTTTAAAAAAGAGAGATTTTTGTCAACATAATGTTATGTGTTCATAAAATGTCACTCTAGATTCTGATTTATATTTACAGTGAGGATATCAATATGTAATTAATTGTATCATCAAGTACTAAAGGACAGCCAGCTACCTGGTTTCACTGTATTTTGATGCATCTCACTGTCATTCATTAAGGTGAAATTCCCTCTGAGTTCAGTGGAGATTTTGCCTAAACAGGGGTGGTTAGATTTGTCCCCATAGTATTTGAAGTAACGGAGAGCTATAAAACCCATCTGCTTATAACTTCAAAAGGCAAGATTCAGTTCCCAAACAGAAGAATAAAACGGATATAACCTTGATCATTGACAAGAAACCTGCCTTTGTGATTTGTTGAGAATTAAATAATATGTGCCCTTTTTTATCACAACTGGAGAGAAAAGCAGAACAAAAGAACCATTGGTTTGAATTCAAGTTATAGTTCACGAGAATTCATTTCCATACAATTACAATGGGTCTATTCTTATTACCTCTGAGTATTGTTTGTATTTGCGGAAGTTGAATGGTGTTACGATCACCAACTAGTGCCTGGGTAATTAACATCTAGGTTTTAAAAAATTTGTTTACTAAGAAGGTTGGCATGAACTGAGTCAGCATATAAACTTGATGGAGTTCTGGCAAGCCGCACCCATCTGTTTTATAGATTGCAAATTCTTCACCATTTGTTTTGCAGAGTGCCTTGGCAGGTGCTTAACACACCCCTGAGCATGGTCCAAATGAATTTATAACAACACACAGTCTTTGTCTAATGGTATAAGATACACACGCCCTTTTCCTTTGTTTGCATTAAAGTTCTAGTCACCATTTGTTGTACTAAGAAACACTTACTGCAGGTAAACATTTTATCTACAGGAGAACATGACAGGACACTGTCTGAAAAACATTATCAAAGATTCCAATAAAATATGAAAATGGATTGAGCATATCCATATTGTATCACTCAGAATGATAAAGGGCTGAGTCACTCAAGTGATAATTGTCATGCATGAAATATGCGCTGAATATTTTTATTAGCTGACATGCCTTTACTTTGCAACATGGCTGCAATATCTCAGGCTTTGTAGTGTCTATATTTGGGCTGAAGGAATAGAACAAGGGCTGTGTCTAGACTGGCATGATTTTGCGGAAATACTTTTAATGGAAAAGTTTTTCCATTAAAAGTATTTCCGCAAAAGAGCATCTAGATTGGCACAGATGCTTTTGTGCAAAAGCATCCGTGCCAATCTAGACGTGCTTTTGCGCAAGAAAGCTCCGATGGCCATTTTAGCCATCGGGCTTTCTTGCGCAAAAAATTAAGGTGCCTGTCTACACTGGCCCTCTTGCACAAGTATTCTTGCACAGGAGGGCTTATCCCTGAGCAGGAGTGTCAAAGTATTTGCGCAAGAAGCACTGAATTCTTACATTAGAATGTCAGTGCTCTTGCGCAAATTCAAGAGGCCAGTGTAGACAGCTGGTAAGTTTTTGTGCAAAATCTTGCCAGTCTAGACGTAGTCCTTTGGGTGCATCTAGACTAGCATGATTTTCCGCAAATGCTTTTAACGGAAAAGTTTTCAGTTAAAAGCATTTGCGGAAAAGTGCCTCTAGATTGGCACGGACGCTTTTCTGCAAAAGCACTTTTTGCGGAAAAGCGTCCGTGCCAATCTAGATGCAGTTTTGCACAAGAAAGTCCCGATCGCCATTTTCACGATCGGGGCTTTTTTGCGCAAAACAATACCGCGTTGTCTACACTGGCCGTCTTGTGCAAAAGCATTTGCGCAAGAGGGCTTTTGCCAGAACGGGAGCAGCAGAGCATTTCCCCAAGAAGCACTGATTTCAGACAGTAGGAAGTCAGTGTTCTTGTGGAAATTCAAGCGGACAGTGTAGACAACTGGCAGCAGCTTTTGTGGAAAACCTTGCCAGTCTAGATGCATCCAAGGTGTTTACTGTCCAGTGGGCTACAAGTAAATCTTAAGAAATTCATATAGGGTTATGTTGCATTTATTTCACAGCTTTTTCATCTGGAGGAGTGAGAGTTTTCACTTGATTAAGGTTAGTATCCATTATATTGATCATGTTGACTCTAGCAGCTACAGAGCCAATTGGCTCTTTTTTTAAAAACTCTACTGCTGCCAAATATAGCAAGCATGAGGTGCTTGGTCATTAACATTTGCCTACCCACTTGATTAGTTCAATAGATGAGCAGGGCCCATCCAGAACAATCCATTCTCTTCTGAGATAAGCAGGCCCAACACTGGCCCTGGACTGAAAAGTTACAGTTGAGATGAATGTGGCCCACTCCATATAGGGTTTTTAATTAGAACAAAAAGAGGCGGGGAGGAGAGTAAGATGCCTCTTCCATCTGCACTGGTAGTGCAGGATAGTTTGTGGAATGTTTCAACAAATCCCTTTTATGCAGACAGAGAAGGTATTGGGTTTAATTCCAGGTTGAAATAAAAAACCATTCTAAAAGTTACTGACTTGCAAAGAATTTCAGAGTGCACAAGCAATGTGTCATTGCAGAAATTTGACCATCTCATGGGAATCTAATAAAGAGAGCAAACACAGTTATACTATCAGCTTTGTACTCTTGGGGTTGAATGGTATACTAGTTTCTGAAAGCTTTCCTTTTAGAAAGAGAAAATTATTGTGGGCTAATAGACTGGTCATAGGAGTCAGACCTGGATTCTGTTCCTAATTCTGCCCAAGACCTTCAACTTTCTTCAATCTTGGGCAACTCAGCTGACCTCACTGTGTTTGTTACCCTGGTCTAACTTCTTAGATGGTGTGACTCCACATCACTCCATAGTCAATGGACCTAAACCAATTTAGACCCAGATCTAAATCCCAATCTGTCCCTCCATTTATAGTATAGGATAATATCTCGCTACAGTAGCGAAGAGACTTAAGATCTTCTGAGAAAAAAGTACTGCATAAATACAGACCATTTAGTCCTCTTTGTTAAGTCCTTTAGGTTCACCATAAACTTTGAAATGAAGTCAAAATGCATAATTATATACACAGAACCAGATATTAACAAATTTATTTAGTTTTTTTAAAATATTTTAATACACAACTTCCCATTGGAAATATCACATGGCACTAAACCCAAAAGTTACATGCTCAATGGAATTACATGTTGCACTGTGTGAACATCAAGACAGAAAAAGGAGGCATGGGGGGGGGGGGAGATTTAGGTCACTGATTCACACTGTTCAGATACACATTGTTTTAGTAGAGGTCATGCAGGCATTTTGTTATTAAATACCCATCATCAATACACCTTGGTTTTATAATTCTTTATTATAATTGGGTCAAACACACAACAGTTAACATTCACAGGTCAAGCAACACACAAAGTCAACTAAACATGTATTTCCAGTTGGCTATCTTCATATAAAAAAATCCCTAGTCTGAGGAAAATTCCCCTTGTTCTTAGTTTTTCACCTGAATGTCCTGCTATCATACATTTTAAAAAGACTGTTCGGTTCTTTTAAAGATACATTTGTTAAATTACCATCACACTTAAAAGTTCACAGTATTATCAAAATAGCTGGTTACCACCATCTGTTTTGTGGTCAGAAAGTTTTAAAAAATTGCTGAAGACAACTATGGTAATCTAGCATTTAAATTGAGGTAGACAGGTTAGTGTTTTGATTGGCCAGGGTTGCTTTTCTCATTGCATAAGTGGTTTTGTATTTGACACATAGTTAAATACATTTGACAACAATTGGAATAGATCCTACATTTCTAGAAGAGAAGTTTGGTTTTAAAAAATTAGAGCACTAAATCTTTTAAAAAGCAGACTTTCCATTACCAAACTAATGAGAAATATCATACAGAATTATGCATTTTCCTTAGTAACTTGTTATTTAAACCTGCAGGATAAAAACCCATTTTAAAGTAGATTTGATCTATCTTAAAATCAAAGTGTAAATAAAATGTGCAACAATCCCTTACCCTATTCCTACTTCCCCACTCAAAGAATTACAAACTCACTGGAGGAATTTGTGGATTAAGAAGATTGTATGTTTAAGCATCATAACCTGTCCACACTTAAAGTTTTTTTTAAAAGTATTTCAGCCATTAGGCATAGAGTCAGGGAGTCTTTGTGGATTAAAGTAACAAATCCCTACACAGGTAGGTACAGTATTTTAAAAAGACTCTTGTTTTCTGGGGGTCTGATCCAGCTTTGCTGAAATCAATGGAAAGACCACCATTGACTTAAAAATGAGCTTTGAAATCAGACCCTGTGTCAGTGGACCAGTTAAACAGTTTGGGAGGAAGGAGGAAGAAACAGACTTCTTCTGTGAAAGAAGGGCCTAGACTCTCAAAAGGTATTTAGGCACCTAATTCATTGATTTCTATGGGCGTTAGGACCTAGGTATCCATGAATATCTGGACTCAAGAAAACTCCTTTACTTTGATTTCAAGCAGGCAAACTAGTGACTGAAGAACAGCTCAGAAACTGGTCGGCGTTTCACTGCAGCTTCCTCCTCCTCTTCTTCCATTGCTTCGACAAGAGAAGAATAAGATGGGAAAGTCCCCCTAGTCTTTGACTTCTTCTTTGAGCCAACAGATGAGTTAAGGAGCTTATTAAAGGAAGAAGTCTTCTTCAAACCTCTTGTTAGATCATAGAAGACCATGTCATCAGATAAGACTCCAAGGAAGGTGCTGGTGGAGCTCAAGATAGAAGCAGCAATTTTGGGATTTTTCTTGGTTGGAAAGGCATGTCCAGCACTGTTTTGAAGATCAGGATCACCCAGCAGATATCTGACTGCATAAGACGATCCTTCCTTTAAGTAGTGGTGTGGCTTTTTCCCACTGTAGTCTCTCAGATTAACTTTGACATTGTATGTCTTGACCAATGTGGCAATGACTTCTTCTTGCCCATGAATGGCAGCAATGTGGAGGGGAGTGTAACCTCCGAAGGACTTGGCATTCACATCAATCTGAGCGCCACCTTTCTTGGCCACCTCAATGATCTTCCCCACCATGTCACAGTTCCCACTCTTCGCTGCCCAGTGCAGAGCTGTGAACCCAGATATGAAGTCCCTTTTCCCTGCCAAATTGGCATCGCTCAGCAAGAGGCAATAAAGCTGCTGGGACCACTGGCCGCTGGCAGCTTTCACCAGCCATTTGTGCTCCACAGATTCCAGGGGCACAGCAGCAATGCAGCCCGTTTCTTCGCTCACTTTTTGCGTCTTGGACACCCTTCGCAGGTTGGGTGACCTAGCACCAGCCTCCTCCACCTGCCTCCTCTTCATGTGGGGCGATCGGGGGGCGGCCTGCTCAGGGAGGCCCCAGGTCCCCACTTGCAGCCAGTCTTTGTCCCTAGGCTCCTCCTCCTGCCTCCGCAGCTCCTCAGGCCCTCTGGCAGGCTGCGGGCAGCGAAGGGGCAACATGAAAGGTTTCTGGTCGGGCGCTCTCTTGGGGAGCCCAGCCACCCCCGGGGCCGGAGCAGGTGCCTCGTCCTCCTGGCTCTGGAATATCCCCCTCAGCTGGGACACAGGCTTCGGGGGCGGGCTGCTTTCCGGGGCTGGGGACACGCTCCTCTCCGGGACCGGGGGCGGGCTGCCCTCCGGGGCAGGGGACACGCTCCTCTCCGGGACCGGGGGCGGGCTGCCCTCCGGGGCAGGGGACACGCTCCTCTCCGGGACCGGGGGCGGGCTGCCCTCCGGGGCAGGGGACACGCTCCTCTCCGGGACCGGGGGCGGGCTGCCCTCCGGGGCAGGGGACACGCTCCTCTCCGGGACCGGGGGCGGGCTGCCCTCCGGGGCAGGGGACACGCTCCTCTCCGGGACCGGGGGCGGGCTGCCCTCCGGGGCAGGGGACACGCTCCTCTCCGGGACCGGGGGCGGGCTGCCCTCCGGGGCAGGGGACACGCTCCTCTCCGGGACCGGGGGCGGGCTGCCCTCCGGGGCAGGGGACACGCTCCTCTCCGGGACCGGGGGCGGGCTGCCCTCCGGGGCAGGGGACACGCTCCTCTCCGGGACCGGGGGCGGGCTGCCCTCCGGGGCAGGGGACACGCTCCTCTCCGGGACCGGGGGCGGGCTGCCCTCCGGGGCAGGGGACACGCTCCTCTCCGGGACCGGGGGCGGGCTGCCCTCCGGGGCAGGGGACACGCTCCTCTCCGGGACCGGGGGCGGGCTGCCCTCCGGGGCAGGGGACACGCTCCTCTCCGGGACCGGGGGCGGGCTGCCCTCCGGGGCAGGGGACACGCTCCTCTCCGGGACCGGGGGCGGGCTGCCCTCCGGGGCAGGGGACACGCTCCTCTCCGGGACCGGGGGCGGGCTGCCCTCCGGGGCAGGGGACACGCTCCTCTCCGGGACCGGGGGCGGGCTGCCCTCCGGGGCAGGGGACACGCTCCTCTCCGGGACCGGGGGCGGGCTGCCCTCCGGGGCAGGGGACACGCTCCTCTCCGGGACCGGGGGCGGGCTGCCCTCCGGGGCAGGGGACACGCTCCTCTCCGGGACCGGGGGCGGGCTGCCCTCCGGGGCAGGGGACACGCTCCTCTCCGGGACCGGGGGCGGGCTGCCCTCCGGGGCAGGGGACACGCTCCTCTCCGGGACCGGGGGCGGGCTGCCCTCCGGGGCAGGGGACACGCTCCTCTCCGGGACCGGGGGCGGGCTGCCCTCCGGGGCAGGGGACACGCTCCTCTCCGGGACCGGGGGCGGGCTGCCCTTGATTTAGTTGGGATTGGTCCTGCTTTGGGCAAGGGGCTGGACTTCATGACCTCCTGAGGTCTCTTCCACTCCTAGGATTCTATGATTCTAAGTAGCCTGTGCTCAGGAGCACTGGTGTCAGCTGTACAGACATCAGATAATTCAGCCTGATGTCTGGACACAGGTGGGGAAATCGAGGCACGGAGGACTAGGGTAGGTCTTGAACACTGGTAGGAACAGGGGTGCCCCGCTTGCAAAGCAGTCCTGTCTTGTCTTATAGCAGGTGTCGGGGATTCGCACAGGCAGCTCTCTCAGCGCCCTGGGCTGGACCCCAGAGTAGAGGGTGGGCCTGAGCTCCCCTAACACTCACCTCCCCATTTCCACATGGGGAAAAGGACGGTAGAGTTTAATCTCCGTTTTACCATACACCAGCCAATAGAGTTGCCAGATGGTTTAACAAAATATACCGACCCCCCTCCCAAAAAAACAGGAAAAAATTCTGTCGAGGAAAAAAAAGTGTGGGGGGGAGAGACCAAAGTTGGTAAGCACAAGTTGCACCACTCCCTCCAGTTTGGGACCACACACTAACCCCCAATGCACCCACCCCTCTCCCTGAGGGAGGCATCCCCAGTGCTGGGAGCGCCCCACCCCAATCAAATCCCCCCTCCCGCAGAGCAAGGCACTGGAGGAATGGGATGGCCAGGTAAGTTAATCTTCCGTTTAAAGACGCTGCTCCTGCCGCCTGGCCCAGCTGCCTCCGCTTGCAGTGTGTAGAGGGAGGCATTAAGTGACCAGCTCCATGGTTTCTGCTGGTCATGTGGGCCAGAGCAGTCTGCGCTCCACTCCCACCCCAGCCCAGTGCCCCACTAGCATGGCAGCAAGTGCCACCTCCTGCCCCCCCCTTCACTACGACTCTGCCACGCTCCTCACTCCCACGCCCCTGCTAGACGCAGCAGGGGAAAATTGTCCCCTCTGGGCTTCCATCCGAGGGAAATAAGAAATACTGGACATTTCACATGTCTGGTATTTTCTGTTTTGTTTTTTTTTTAACCGGATGGAGCCTGCAAATACCAGACTGTCCGGGTGAATACGGGACACCTTGCAACCCTAAACACTGGCCGCTCCCATTGATCAAAGTCTGAGTGACTCACCCAAATACCCACAATAGAGGCCAGTCCTACAAGTGGCTCCATAAGGCTCCACCACAGGATCCTGGCCTAGATTCTAACTCTATACTGTGTTGCTTCTCATTGTTAAGAAATCAGTCTTGTTGGACTGACTCTGCCTGCAGGGTCTTTACCCCAAAAGGCAAATGGACCCTATTTTGCAAATTCTGAGCAATCAGTTCAGCTGACTGAGTTACCTGAGTGTATGTGTGTGGAGGGGGAGAGAGTGCAGACAATCACTTTTCAGCATTTTTTAAATAATGCTTCAATCCCCAGGGAAATGCAGCTACCAGAATAGAATCCCTCCAATTGTTTTACCAGTGCCAACTAAACTACATGACAAGTGAGATAAAATGTAGAGATTTAAGAGCTTGGTCCTGAGAGATGCTGAGCAGCCACTGTCTAACCTATGTAAACATAACTCCAATTTCATGCACTCCATTAACTTTGGAAGATAATTGAGCAAAGTTTTGTCTCATAACACATTAGTTCCACTGTTCCAGCCATGTGGAGATTGCTTGGACTGAGTTAAAAGTTTCTTTGATTTACTTCTACCCCATAATTTTTGTATCCATTATTATCAAAGCAGTGAGACAGCTTTACATACAATTTATTTCATAAAGTTAAATCTTTGTTTCTGAAAAAGCTTTTATTGATATTTGAACATCTGACCAGTTGTGATTCTTGTGAGTTATAGACTCTCTTATCTGCAAACAAGGTAAGAAAAACATATGAATTAAACTATATTACATAGCTAAAAATGTCAATAACCCACGGACGTTAGTATTTCAGAAGGTAGCATTATAAATATGTTGCCATAACTGTTATTTCTACTTGCATTTTTTATGTCTTGGAAACAATGTAATATAAACCACTTCTAAACCCTGCATCTTCTTACCATTCCTAGTCCAGCCTTCTTTGTGGTCTTCATCTTTCTCTGCTCCCCATTCTCCTACTCATCTGGCACTGACTTCCTTTCTCTTCCTACCCTCATTACCTTGGGGCAAAAGCCTTCTTCTGCAGCTCTCACTGGCTGCATGGAATACCATCTTTGTGTCTTTTCACCCTTCTCTCTGTCTCTTCAAATATCATCTGAAAATGTATTTCAGCCCTTGACTACAGCTGCCACTGAGCCTATTCCTGAAAGTATCTGTGCTGTGCCAATGTTCTCTCCCTTAATTGTGTGTGATCTTATCCTGCCTGTAGCTCTGTAATGTTCCTACACTGATTACTTCTCACCTAACACTGCCTCACCAGGCCTGTCCTATTGTTTACACAGTAACCACACAGAGTATTTTACTGGTGTTGTCTGTTGTGTGTGGTATTTTACTAATGCCATCCCTGCATTAGTAATGCCTGTTTGTTTATAGCAGCCCCATGCTGCTGCCTGGCTTAGTGCAGAGAGCTAATAATAAATAAGCGTCCAAAACTAATTGCTATGACTTGCTAATGAGGTTGGTTATTAGAATCTAGTGCAGACATATGAAAGCCTCAGAATTCATTGTACATCTTTTGTGGTGCAAACTTTTCCTCGTACCTTGTGCCTATCTTTCACTTATAGGGCTCGTCTACACTGGCCCCTTTTCCGGAAGGGGCATGTTAATTTCAGAGATTGTAATAGGGAAATCCGCGGGGGATTTAAATATCCCCCGCGGCATTTAAATAAAAATGTCCGCCGCTTTTTTCCAAGATCCTCCGGAAAAGGGCGCTTTTTCCGGAGGATCGGGGCCAGTGTAGACGCTCTTTTCCGGCTTTTCTAAAAGCCGGAAAAAAGCGGTGGACATTTTTATTTAAATGCCGCGGGGGATATTTAAATCCCCCGTGGATTTCCCTATTACGATCTCTGAAATTAACATGCCCCTTCCGGAAAAGGGGCCAGTGTAGACGTAGCCCTAATGTTCTGTCTCTCTCGGAGAAAGAATAGGTGCATGCCAATGGAGAAGAACCAACAGGGTTTTTGGAATTCTCTCTCTTATTTTACAAACATTTGTGGAAAATTTGGTGGTGTTCCAAGAAGGCACCATTGGCACCGGTTAAAGTCAAGCAAGGTGCATCTGTGCCCAGGGTGCCTCTGCACTAAGAGCTCTGAAAATCTCTGCCATTCTTTCTGGAAATCAATACAGTTCACTGATGCCAGCTACTGTGTAAACGTTCCTGTAGTCTGCTATGTGGAGTGGACATCTCCTTTGAAAGTGACATCCGGGTTGGATACTTAATGGATACCTTGAGATCTGCATGGATGCTGTTGGATATTTGCCCATTACAACTACATTGTTCCCCTTACCCAAGAAGTTATTGTCCTCTAACCACCAGAACCCTAGCTGCAGTAACTTGTGAAGGTTTACTACTGAGCGTGGGGGAGGGGAGGGGGGGAAACACTCCACATAGGATCAGCACTCTGGTCTCCTCATATAGCCCGTCCTCACTCCACGCAGAGATCTAGAATCCTGTGGAACTTCTGAATCACCTGGGATTTTCTCCATCTGTGGGAAGAAGATGTGTGACAGAGGTAATATTTTCCCTTTCCATGTTCCTCAGCTGGGATCAGTGAATGGGGTATCTCCTTCACCCACAGAAGTGTAGGGGAGCATAGGAAACGTATCTTGCATTGTGATGGATGTGAATGGGTTTCCCCAGTTTAAATACTCTGTCCTACAAACTCTTCCCACAAGTTATGCTCTTCTGTGCTGCGACTAAGGACTTGTTTGCACTTATAGCCACCAAGTAGTGCTTACAGAAAAAGCTACTCATGTCAACAGGAGAGCTTCTCCTGTCAGTGTATGTGGCCATGTTGATAGGAGAAACTCTCCTGTCTACACTGGAGGTCAGGTTGGTATTACTGTGTTGCTTGGCAAGGGAGGATTTTCCACGCCCTGAGCAATATAGTTATACCAACATAAGTCAGTAGTGTAAACCAAGCCTCAATTACATATACTTATGTTTTCCCTAGGTTACAATGTTTATATTAATGCATGTGTTTATCTTCCCAGACTCTCATTTAGTGAGTGTCTGGTAGGCCTGGGTACTATTCCTTCCACCAATTACAAACAAAATATAATATAGCGGATAAACTAAGCTGTACTAGTCTCATTTGTTCGTATGTTGTGTCCCTGGCTGGCCCTCCGCTTCTGTCTGGCTGAGTGTTTCGAGTCTTTTAACTTTAATTCCCTCAGACTAGGAGTGGCCTCATTTCTATATTTGTTCATCCCCCAAGCACAATGGGGCTCCCAGCCTAGTTGGGGACCTTTGGTATGACTATAATATAAATATTTAATAATAATGATGATGATGATCCTGGAGTGGTAGAAAATAGTGCAGTCATGTGCAGAATCCTCACTATACTATTTTGGGTTTATGCAGCTCCTCTCAGTTTTAATTGGATTTTTAAAAATATTGTCTATTTGTAGCTTGCTGGGTATGCTAGACTAGTCACTGCACTGCTCTGTGCCTCAGTTTCCCCATTTATAAAAGGAAGTTAATCTTTTTTCGAAAGCACTTTTGAGGTTTACAGATGAAAAGCTCTATATAGGAGCTGGGTATTAGTAATGAGTGTTGTAGAATGGCAAATACTTGGCTTAATTTTATTTGTTGATACATGGTTCAGATCTGGTGATGGTTATTTATTTATAGACAAGTCCCCTGGGATTTTCTGTCTCTGTGGTGTTTAGTGATTGGTTTAGTTTGTTTCTCCATAACTGATTAAGAAGTAGATTGAGTTGCAGAAATGATGCTGACTGATGATGTCTCTGACTACCATAAATATATTCAGGAAAAATCTTTTAATTCAGAGAACAATCAGGCTGGAACTGTATTGGTATTGGGCACCTAATTCCTTTGAAAATTTCAGCTTCAAGGGAAATTTTGCCTTTCTCTTTTTTCTTTTGCCAAAACCCGAAAAAGCAAGTATTTTTGGATTGATTATTTATGGAACACTGCAAGCTGCCTCTTAGATGATCTCGAGTTAACTGTTATACATCTTGGTGTTTCCAATTTACTAGCTAGGACAGAAGAAAACTACAGAAAACAGAAAAAAAACTTTTAAAATGTTCTGCTATTTATATTTCAAACCAAACTTTGCAGCTCACTAACTCTATATCACAAACATTCAAGAGTTGTTTGCTTTCCATGTATTTGACTGGGAATTGTTATGGGTGTTTGTGAAATATAGTACATCTACGAACCCATCAATATTGCCACGTTGGAAAACACACC